CGGGTGTACCTTTCGGAAGGTGTCAGTCATTTTAAAATCCTCTATCAACTCCTTCAACTTCCTAGAGGAAGGGTCGAGCCTCCTCCCAGCGACCGATAATAGGTCTGCCAGGCACAACGGGCAGTTAAAATCGCCCCCCATTATGACTTGCCGTCTCGTCACGAGCAGGGTCGCTACATTATTCCATAGGTCCAATCTTTCTGTGCACGTCGTGGGGGCGTACACATTTATTAGTCTCAGGTCTGCCTCTCCATAAGACACGTCCACATAATGGAGGCGGCCCGGGATCACCTCTTGGGACCCGACTATCTGTATACCCCTCCTGCCTAGGAAGGTAACCACCCCCGTGCATCGATTTTCATTACTCCCGGACCAAAAGTAGTAGCCATCCCAGCTCTCCAACAGCTCCTCCCGGCCCAGGGTGTATGGTAGGTGGCATTCCTGGAGGAAGACCACCTCCCACTTAGAAGCCTGTAGTAGTTGTATTATTGCTCCTCTCCTTCCCTTTCCCTTCAAGCCTCTCACATTTACGGACGCCACGGAAAGATCCATGTTGGGATGTGTCTCAGTCCGAAACGGCCTTCTCCGCTCGCCCTCCGTAGCAGTCTTCATTCGCTAGTTCCCGTAATTTCATTTTGCCCCTTGCTCTCAAGGGTTTCCCCCTGTGCCGGCTCCTCACCATTTCCTTCATCCCCTCCCTCGAGGCCTCCGTGTCCAGCGAGGAATCCGAGGGTCCCGAGCTGTCTGAAGGGGCGATTCTTTTTAGCGCTCTCTGTATCCTCCTTTTTCTTCCAATTGGTCCCTCCCATTTCTCGCTATCGCTATCGCCTTCCTCCTGTTGTCGTTCCCCTTTTTCTTCATCCTCCTCCATTACCTCCGCCCAGTCTTCCATGGTCTTCTTGGTGATGCTTTCCATGCCGTCGCTCCCCTCCCCCGTCAGCCCCGCTTTCTGCTCGCTCGATGTTGATTCTGCTCTTTCTGCATGCCTCTCCCCTTCTCCCCCTCCGTCCGTCGCTGGTAGCTGCTGCTCGGCCACCTCCCCTCGTTCTTCCCTCACCGGTTCCTTATCCGGGTCCAGTTTGGTCCCACCCCCTTCCTCATCCCCCACTTCTCCTGCCCTGTATGCCCTAACCTTGTTGGCGTACGACTCCGGACATTTTTTGTACAGATGTTCTCGGCTACCACAGAGGTTACATCGTGCCGGAACACTGCATTCTTCTACCTCGTGGTCCAGTGCCTTGCATCTATAGCAGACTTTTGTCTTGCATGCTGCGGCCAGGTGACCACTTTCTCCACACCTCCTACATAGTTTAGGTTGTCCGGCATACACAACATATCCTCGGTTGCCTCCTATGTTCAGGGCACTCGGGATGTGTCTCAAGGTCCCTCCCTCTGTTTTCAACTGCACCCTCCATTGTCTTGCCCCTGTCCATATCCCCATTGAGTCCCTCACCTTTTTACAGCCCGACAGTACCGAGCAGTGCTGTCTTAGCCAGACCTCCACGTCGTGGTCATGTAGGGCTTCATTGTATAGGAAAATAGTCACTACCTTCGTGGCTAGCTCTGATAACAGTTGTAGCTTCATTGATGTCAATGGCTTCTCCTCCGCTTTTTCCTCAAAGCGGGTCATAAATCTTTGTAGCAGGGGGCTTGAGTTAAAGCTTACATCAAACGCCCTCCCTCCCAGCAGAGTTATCAAACAGTACAAGTCTGTCGGCTCTATATGTAGCAACACCCCCGCCTCGCCATTTCCCGGCTCGTTCCCGGGGCCTCCCAGCTCCCACCGGTCCAGCGTCCAATGTCGCGTTCTCCCTCCGGGCCTCCCCCTGCCCCAGGGTTTCTGGCGTCTCCCTGGCTTCGTTCCCCATCCTCCACTCGGGGACACCCGCCTCTCTGCTTCCGGACGCCATACCTTCTTCTCCTCGGCCTCCCTCACCCACTCCATCAGCTCCCACCCTCCCATCCATTTCCTACATCCTCTCCTTCTGCCGTGCCTCCGCCGCGTTCCTCTCCATCCGTCTCCGTGCCTCCTCCACGCATCCCCCTGCTGTCGGCGGGTCGGTCTGGTTGCCCCAGTCCCCTCCGGCAGCGTAGGTGGTGTTGGTGGCCCTCTGCTTTCGCCGCGTCTTCTTCTTGTCTCCTGCAGTCACCATCTGGCCGACTTTGTCGTCCCAGGCTCCCTCAGCAGTGCAGGTGGCATTCATTTCTCTTGACGCACTCCCTGCTTCCTTTTCATCTGCTGCGAGCATAAGCTGGGCGGCTCGATCATCCCTGTCTCCTTCCGCAACTCGGGTGGCCCTCATGGTCCTTGACTCTCGCCATTTCCCTTCTTCGTCTGTTGCGATTTCCGTCTCCATTCTCCAGCAGTCCCCGCTTCTTGGCAGCGTGGTCATCCCTGGCCACACGGTCAGGGCCCTCGCAGGCCTCGGGGCTGGTGGCTAGGTCTCACTTGAGATCCGGACGGGCTGGAAGGATCACCTCGGTGCTCCTGGTGTCTCCCCTGGCAAGCCAGGGCAGTTTTCCCCCTCCTCATCGGGCAATTCGCCAGAATGGTGAGGCTCTGCTTTTGCTCCCGGTCTTAAATAAAGCAGTAGCAGGGTGACGTCATCATTTAACTCATCAGGTGCAACGATTTGAGGCGGAGGGGGGGGAGGTTATTGTAATTATTTACTAGACTAGAAACATTTAGGCTGGCCTGCTAATGATCTATCCTGGGTTTAACCATATATGTGTGTGCGTCTAAGTCGATGTGTTTCTATGTGTGTGGGTCAATGTCTGTGTCTAAGTCCATGTGTGTGTCTGCCTTTATCGCCCGGGCAACGCCGGGTAATTACCGCTCGTGTTAAATAATGTGGAGCCAGAGGACATCCCTGTCACACCCCGAGGTGTAGAGGGAATGGCTCTGACTGATGGCCACGTAGTTTGACGCGGGGCCGCTCACCATCATGAAGGTCCTTAAGGATCGTGAGCAAAGTTTGAGGGACTCCGAAAGCATGAAGAACAACCCAGAGGCCAGGCCTACTGATGGTATCATAGGCCTTAAGCAGGTCAAAAAACACATACATTCACTCACACGCACACATGGACCTACAGAAATGCAAAGAAATGGACTTACACTGACTGATATGGAGCCATGCACACAAAGCGACTAACACAGACGCCCATGGACTGACACACACAGACATATATGGACTCACACACGCATAGACATGCACTTTAGATACACACACATGGAGTCAGACACACATATATTGATGTACACACATACAGCGACTCACACACACATCGACTCACACACACATTGACGTAAACACACATGTACTTACACACACATATCGACTAAGACACACACACATGGACTTAGACACACATACATAGACTGACACACACATTGCCCTACACACACACATAGACATATGGACTGTGACACACAGACATCTACTTTAGATACACACACATGGATTAACACACACACATCCACTGACACACATAGACACACAAACGCACATTGACTTACACACTCAGATGGAGCCATGCACACACATCGACTCACACACACGCATTCCCTTAGACACACAACAAAGATCCCCCATATAGCCTTAACAGACTGTAGGGGCAAGTGCTGTTAGCGAGCACCTATGAAGGCCGGAATGGTACACGAGGGGGTGGGTGGCCAGCACCACGCCCGACCGCCTTTGTCTCCCTAGTGGCGATGTTTACACACTGCACCAGGTACTCATTTGAGGCTGAGTTGGACTTAACCACACATGTGGACTAACACACACACAGCGACTGATACGCACACAAATGGACTGACACACACAAACACTTGTACGTACACACACACACACGGGGCGTTGTCCGTTTGAAAAAGACAGACACACACATGGACTTACACACAGACATGGACCTACACACATAGAAACCCATCGACTTACAAGCACACAAACACATATGGACTGACACACACAGACATCGACTTTAGGGACACACATGTAGATTCTGCACACGAAGATTTTAATTGTAATATTAGGCAACTTATTAGTTTCATAATAGTAAACAATGAAGCAGAGTTGTATGTGCAGACAAACATTATCATTGTAATATTTGTAAATTTGTTTGTTTAATAATAGTTCTTAGCGAAAGATTGAATAAAATTGTACTTTACATTGGCGTGGTGACGCCTCGTCCCGTGGAGAGCCCGCAGCCTCGCCTAGATTGGCAAGCCGGAGGAGGTGAGACATTGCCAGGCTGTGGGCTGGGCCGCTACCCCCCCCCCCCCCACCATCCCCCCGCCCGAGGCAGAATAATACTATGTAAACGCTTTAATAATATTAATATGTAAGGACTTTATAGCAGTAAAAGCACGCATTGGGGTGGGGGGGGGGGAAGAGGACATGACACTGTGAAGAGAAATCGGCAGCATGATGTGTACAGTATATTTATTCCATGTTAAACGCGTGAAATAAAATGTCCGCCGTGAGCTGGACCGAACGCGCATCACTTGGCAGGGTCCGCCCCCTCCGCACGCAATTGGCGTCAGTTGGTATGGTCGATGTCGGGCAATAAGTAAATAATTAATAATAGAAACGGCACAAATGTGTTAATTAAACTACTTAAAAGTTTACGGATGGGAAAACGGAATAGCCTATTCCCATCGCGGGGCTAAGGGCGTGCCGCCTGGCAAATCTTTTTGTACGTGAAGGCCACCGTTCGAGAGCCAAATCCCCCGCAAGCGCGAGCACGCGGAGACTTTTATATATAAAGAAGATTAGTAATCAGGCAATTGTTACGATGTCAGTTGTAGATTAGTAATCAGTTGTAATGTGTGTTATTGTAATTATATGCTACGTTAGTAATTAGTTAATTAATATTTGTTTCCCCTATAAGGAATTGTAATATGTATTATTTAAATTTCGATTTAAAGCTTTCGTGACTTCAGGATGTATTATTTAGCAATAGGCTTCCAGGCCGCACTAAGCCTGTAGCTGTCTGAGCGGTTAAAGTTATTTCTGTTTCTCTCAATTTCAATGGATTATCTCAATGCACAAAACCCGGCCATCCAGTTCACCATGGAAATGGAGGTGAATAACACACTCCCGTTCCTGGATATTTTACTTGGACATGGCCTAAATGGTAAAATAACACAGCGTTTACAAAAAAAAGCACACTGATGCCTATCTGAATGAAGATTCGCATCATCACCCAGCTCAGAAATCCTCTCTTATCTAGACGCTCATACATCGGGCTAAAACAGTGTCAGATGGTGAAAGTCTAGTGAGAGATTAAACATGTTAAAGAAGCACGAAAACAGAATGGCTACAATAATGCTAAAATTAACAGAGCACTAAATGCCAAATCACGATCGCAAAGCAACATTGCTGAAAGTGATCAGATTGTTAAAACAATTAATACCATATATCTCAGAAGTAACTGACAAATTAGCCCGTGTTTTGCAAAAGCAAAACATTACAGTAAGATTTGGTACAGTACACAAAATTTAAAAACTAGTAACTTGCACTAAAGACGAATTACCTAAATTATCAACAGAAGGTGTATATCGGATTAATTGTTTATGTGGCAGATGCTATATTGGACAGACGGGACGTAACATTAGTGTAAGACTAAAAGAACACCAAAGAAATATTAAACTATCTCAAACACAATTGTCGGCAGTGGCAGAATATGCTTGCCAACAGGGACACTCATTTGATTTTGATAACGTTGAGGTGTTGTGTAAAACTAATTACTACTAGCAAAGACTAATTAGAGAATCCATTGAAATTGAGAGAAACAGAAATAACTTTAACCGCTCAGACAGCTACAGGCTTAGTGCGGCCTGGAAGCGTATTATTAAATAATACATATTATAATTCCTTATAGGGGAAACAAATACTAATTAACTGATTACTAACGTAGCATATAATTACAATAACACACATTACAACTGATTACTAATCTACAACTCACATCGTAACAATTGCCTGATTACTAATCTAGTATATAATTACAACCCCCCCCCTCCGCCTCAAATCGTTGCACCTGATGAGTTAAATGATGACGTCACCCTGCTGCTGCTCTATTTAAGACTGAGAGCAAGAGCAGAGCCTCACTATTCTGGCGAATTGCTCGATGATGCTGGATGCAATTAACAGCGAAACGTCGTACTCAAATTTTTTTGTAAATGTTGTGGTTTCACGCTTCAACACACTGGTGGGCTAAAGCAGTGAACTATTTGTCATTTGTCAACATGACACTTTTTTGCTGATTGGCCGTGTCGGGTGGTGGAGAGTTACGACACATTTATAAATAACGCGATCTAACCCAAAAACGTTGATTATGAGTTAAATAATTGGTTGTAATCGCTGGCCAAAATTTACAATTCCAGCACCGTGGTGTTTCACTGGTGCAGCTGGCGAAATGTCACAGTAACTCGAATTGCAAATGTTTGTAGTGGGTTATTGTCCATAATATTAAAGGGTTTTTATATGCATACATTACCGCCCCCCCCTGGTCTTGGCACCTGATTGGCTCACAAGTGACGACGTCACCTTTATCCTCTCTATTTCAGACCGAAACAGGAGGGGGATTTCCCTACAACTCTGCGGATGTCGCCTGATGATGCTGCTTGTTGTTTTAATTACCGGCAAAAATGTCACGGTTACTCGAATTGTAAATGTTGTAGTGGGTTTACTCTTCAACACACAACCGATTAGTGCTGAACTAGTAACGAATTGTAGATGCTGTGGGTTTATTCTCCAACACACAACCGGTTAGTGCTGAACTAGGAACTAATTGGCACGTTTTGTTTACGTGACACAAATACCTCACAAAATTGCCGTGTCGGGTGGTGGCGGCGGGTTTAATGACATTTATATTTACGACCTCTAACCCGAACTAACCTCTATTAGGGATAATATTGGTTGTGAAAGCCCTCCTCCTACTACTACTAAGTTTTAAACTGGGACCTTTTTGTTACCTGCGGCGTAGCGCTCTCTAAACACGACATGCGCTGAGACGGCCAGAGACACCACCAAGATTGCGATGGAGCAGATAGACACCGCGATGGCACTCCTCTTGCAGAAGTCTGTTGACACAGTAGAGAGAAGTAGTTATAATCATAATTATTATATTAATTTCTAAAGCAAATGGTCGTTCTCAGGGGACGCTTAACGCATGGAAAGGCGGAAATAAGAGTTTGTCATCGACCGAGGACAGAAGATGCAAGAGAGATGCGTGAAAATAACTAAACAGACAGAGCCCATTTAATACGGTTGCGTTTTTTTGTCCAGATTTGAAGATGTTTAAGTGCTCTCGGAAAATCCTGTGACCCATACCTGTCAACCCATACCGTTTACTTCGTATTCTTGTACAGGAAATTATTGTACAGTTTTCATGTCCATATGGCCTACATCCATTTCAATACGAGCAAAACATATTTTTTTGTCAATTTGATTGTGTTTCTCCCTTGTGATGGGACTTTGTAGGATGCATGTTGAGATTTATAAGGGCACAGGGTGACCAATAAGGTCTGAATTGGTCTGGAATAAGGGGTTGACAGGTATGTATGACCTCGACGGGGGTGAGAGAGGTCCCAGAGATGTCAGTGTGTCTCTGTGTGGGCGGCGGAAGTGTAGCGGTTAGCACGCAGAGCTACGAAGCTGGCCACCCCAGTTCGATTCACGCTCACGGCTACTTACAGCAGTGACGATTATCTGAACCGGTCGTGGGCTTCCCCTAGGTCGACTCAGCCTCAAATGAGTACCTGGTTGCAGTGTATAAACATCGCCACTGGGAAGACAAAGGCGGTCGGGCGTGGTGTTGGCCCCCTACCCCTTGTGTGCCGTGCTGTCCTTCATTGGTGCTTGATAACAGCACTTGCCCCAACAGTTTGTTAAGCATATACGGGGGATCTTTGTCTGCAAAATGGAGGAGGCTTCTGAAGGATACTGCTACTGGGCATTTGGAGGCTGTTGCTCTCCAGCAAAAATGGAGGGCAGAGGAACGAAGCTCACAACAATGAGTGGAGTGCTGGGTGACCAAAATGCAGCAAGTTGGCACAGTAGAGGGTACAGCTGGTGCATCTGTAGTGGTGATACGTGCTGGCAGGGGGGATCGTGAGCCAGCGCGTGGTGATTGGTTACATCACGGTCCGCAAGCGGGTGCTCACATCGCGGTCCGCATAGGCTCCGCCCCCTCGGGAGCGGAGGGCTATGTAAGGCGATGCGAGCGGGCACTCGGGGAGTTGGTAACCGGTGAAGATAGAAGACGGAGGAAGAGATAGGCCCTGGACTCCTAGCCCCGCTGCCCTTGTAAGGGCCGGGGCTCTGTGAGGCTCAGAGGCGAGGCCTTGGGATGCACGGCCCGACGCCCTTGTAAGGGCTCGGGCAGTGTAACTCAGTGGTCGAGACCCGTGGCCTGACAAGGCGGGTCTGATAGCTCCCCGTGGGGAGAGCGTAGCCGGAGAGCCTGAGTCGAGGCAGAGTTAGGCACGCGTACCCTACGGGAGAGACTGAGTGTGGCCCGAGCCGGATGCGCATAGGGGTCTGATAGCTCCCCGTGGGGAGAGCGTAGCCGGAGAGCCTGAGTGCAAGGCAGAGTTAGGTACGCGTACCCCACAGGGGAGACGGAGTGCGTGGCCGAGTCAGGCACGCGTAACATAGGTGTTATCTCGGTTGGGACTGTTACTTGTGCAACCGTTGTGAATAAAGAGTGCTGCCCCGTCAACTCGTCTCCCGCCATTATTGAAGATATTACACATCTACTGATCATCTCAGTCAACCAACCCATGGCACCTGGGTCTGTCTCGAAACCTCCTATCAGCGAGCCTTCGACACTTTACGTGGTCTCAAAGTGTACCTGGCCTGGCACAGACGCCGTGGTGATGTGACCGTCACTTAGTGGCGAATGGCCAGCATTGGTACAGCGAGGGAAAAAAGTATTTTATCCCCTGCTGATTTTGTACGTTTGCCCACTGACAAAGAAATTATCAGTCTATAATTTTAATGGTAGGTTTATTTGAACAGTGAGAGACAGAATAACAACAACAAAATCCAGAAAAACGCATGTCAAAAATGTTATAAATTGATTTGCATTTTAATGAGGGAAATAAGTATTTGACCCCCTCTCAATCAGAAAGATTTCTGGCTCCCAGGTGTCTATTATACAGGTAACGAGCTGAGATTAGGAGCACACTCTTAAAGGGAGTGCTCCTAATCTCAGCTTGTTACCTGTATAAAAGACACCTGTTCACAGAAGCAATCAATCAGATTCCAAACTCTCCACCATGGCCAAGACCAAAGAGCTCTCCAAGGATGTCAGGGACAAGATTATAGACCTACACAAAGCTGGAATGGGCTACAAGACCATTGCCAAGCAGCTTGGTGAGAAGGTGACAACAGTTGGTGCGATTATTCGCAAATGGAAGAAACACAAAAGAACTGTCAATCTCCCACGGCCTGGAGCTCCATGCAAAATCTCACCTCGTGGAGTTGCAATGATCATGAGAACGGTGAGGAATCAGCCCAGAACTACACGGGATGATCATGTCAATGATCTCAAGGTAGCTAGGACCATAGTCACCAAGAAAACAGTTGGTAACACACTACGCCGTGAAGGACTGAAATCCTGCAGCGCCCGCAAGGTCCCCCTGCTAAAGAAAGCACATATACATACCCGTCTGAAGTTTGCCAATGAACATCTGAATGATTCAGAAGACAACTGGGTGAAAGTGTTGTGGTCAGATGAGACCAAAATGGAGCTCTTTGGCATCAACTCAACTCGCCGTGTTTGGAGGAGGAGGAGGAATGCTGCCTATGACCCCAAGAACACCATCCCCACCGTCAAACATGGAGGTGGAAACATTATGCTTTGGGGGTGTTTTTCTGCTAAGGGGACAGGACAGCTTCACCGCATCAAAGGGACGATGGACGGGGCCATGTACCATCAAATCTTGGGTGAGAACCTCATTCCCTCAGCCAGGGCATTGAAAATGGGTCGTGGATGGGTATTCCAGCATGACAATGACCCAAAACACACGACCAAGGCAACAAAGGAGTGGCTCAAGAAGAAGCAAATTAAGGTCCTGGAGTGGCCTAGCCAGTCTCCAGACCTTAATCCCATAGAAAATCTGAGGAGGGAGCTGAAGGTCGAGTTGCCAAACGTCAGCCTCGAAACCTTAATGACTTGAGAAGATCTGCAAAGAGGAGTGGGACAAAATCCCTCCTGAGATGTGTGCAAACCTGGTGGCCAATTACAAGAAACGTCTGACCTCTGTGATTGCCAAAAAGGGTTTTTCCACCAAGTACTAAGTCATGTTTTGCAGAGGGGTCAAATACTTATTTCCCTCATTAAAATGCAAATCAATTTATAACATTTTTGACATGCGTTTTTCTGGATTTTGTTGTTGTTATTCTGTCTCTCACTGTTCAAATAAACCTACCATTAAAATTATAGACTGATCATTTCTTTGTCAGTGGGCAAACGTACACAATCAAATACTTTTTTCTCTCACTGTATACTCTTTGGTTCTTTCGGTAAATCACGTCGGTATAAAATAAAATAATTAAATCACAACGTTTCCATTTGCCCACTTCAATTGTTTCTTGCTGTGGTTGTCCCGCCTGATGTGTTGCGCCCAAAACGTCGTTATTTAATTTATTTTATTTTATACCTACGTGACTTTACCGAAAGAACCAAAGAGTATGGATCCCTGCAGTCACGAAAACGTCAAACCTATTGTTATTTTTCATCGGCTGCACTTGCACGATTTCATATTCTGTCACCTGCTCTGCTGTCGGAATCGGTCGGCATCGTTTCTCCATCTTGGCGATCTGCAACGTCCTGCTCTTCATCTGAACAAGATAAATGAACGATGGAGAGAGATGAACACGAAAATTAAGCGACCGGCCACAGCCATTAATTTAACAAGCCGAGTTGAATAAAGGTGGTCATTTTTCCATCTAATCACATGCACGCTATCAGATTCTGGTTAACATAAAAATACTAATAAAGAGCAGCCTGCTATCAAATAAGTGGAAATACTTGCATATATTGTTATGGTTACATTTCCCACCACCTACTCCTCTGATCTCCACACCACATAGGCTCACCACAGTGATGACATCACCTTTACTCCCTAATTTAATACCGGAAACAGGAAGATTTCTGATATTTAGATACATTTTGCTACTGTAAATGCCCACGTGATGACAAGCCACTTTGTTGCACTATCATTTGTGGTGGCCAGGTCGTTGCTGCAAAAAATAAGTTAATACCTCAGCAGGCTTTGCCTAATAGGATGGAGGATGGATTCGTTTAATTTGTATATATTTGGGTGATTTGTTTACCTTTCTTGTACACGGACTCCTCTACTTACGAACATTCGACTTACAAACTTTCAGAGATGCGAACAAACCTGGACCGTATGTCCAGTTGCCTATTCGGATTGAGAGTCGTAAGTTCAACTGCCGCGTAATAGATGGCCGTGGTGGCATCTACTTCTGCAGAATGTGAAGAACCAGTGGCATCTACATCTACAGGAGAGTATACAACTTAAAAGCCATTCCCCGTGTTTAGTATACATGCCATATAACATGTTTGGAATCGACAGGAATAGTTGGATTTACGAATAAATCGACTTACAAACAGACATCTGGAACCTAACTCTTTTGTAAGTAGCTGAGTCCCTATACTTTGCACTACTATGATGGTCATCTGTGGAAATGAGCTGTATAGCTCATTGTATTCCTCCTGCAGTATAAATATAATATTCTGATTCTTCATAATTCTATAAAATTGCCTGATGATGGTAGTTGTTGTAATCACCAGCAAAACGTCACAGTACTCAAATTGTAAATGTTGTAGTGGGTTTACTCTCCAACACATACCGGTTAGTGCTGAACGAGTAAAGAAATTGGCACGTTTTGTTTATGTGACAAACCCCCCATTAATTGAGCTGTGTTGAGTTCGTGGCGAGTTTAACGACACATTTATATTTACGCAATCTAACCCCAAAAAAGCTCAAACCCTTTATTATTGGTCACGAAAGTCCTACTACTACGTATTCAAACTCAATCCGCACCTTCGCTCTTTCTCTCTTGTTACCCACCACCCTTCAGTAATAAGTTAATACCTCAGTGGGCTTTGCCTAGTAGGATGGGGATGGTTTAGTATTGTATTTGTATGTGTCTGGGTGATTTGTTTACCTGGCTTGTACTTCGCACTACTATCGTGTTTTTAAAACTGTTTATTGTTGTAACGTTCTTACCCCATGCCCCTACTGGACATCTGTGAAAACGAGCTTTATAGCTCATCAGATTACTTCTGCAATGTGACTACTGATTCTGATTCTGTTTTTGAACTTCCCCCTCTACATTAAGCAATCACTTTCGCTCACTAAGTGTCCACTCCCATTAATCTCCCACCTCATAACCACCAACACCATTACTGTTCCCTCTTCATATTCTCATGATACGGCTCTCATTAACCCCATTCATTCGATCCATTCATCAGTTTCTGTCGGAATAATAATTAGCCTCATTATATGGCTATCATTCATTAACGCCATCCATTCAATCCATTCAGCATCATTTGCTGTCAGAATAATTATTATCATTATATGAACCTTATGGCTGTACCCCGGGGTACCATAGTACCCCGGCTCTCGCATAATGTCCGTAATTAAGTCATTTTTAGTCTGTTGATGGTCGGCGATGCGGCACTTGACTCATATTGACGAGCTGTACACAATGCACTATGGTGCATACGAGCGTTCAGGGTTTCAGCGCAATCGTCCTCGCTGAGTTTCGACATCGCGGAGTAGCACTGATTTCGGATTGATTGGTACCCCAGTCGCGGAGTTAAGTACACCCCTGGAAAAAATAGTGTCTCAGAAATAAAATATTCAATTGCCTCGGCCGTTTTGTATTATTTGGTACCCCGGGTACCGCCATAAGGATCATATGACTATCACTCGCTAACCCCATCCATTTAATCCATTCATCATCATCATTCTTTACTGTCATCCATTTCGCTTGCACGATTTCACGCAGCATCACAGAGTTGCCACCCATTGCTTCCACCCATCTAATTCACTCACCTCATCTACACCACCATTACATTCACACGCACGCATCGTAGTTGTAACGTTGTTGATTCTTTGTGTAGGGGACTGTATAGATAATTAATTACATGTGTAGTGAGTCCAACTGCAGTCGCAGACATTGTCTTGGGAGCAAAATTAATTATTACGTCAACTCAACACAACATAATGTAACCTACACTCGGATGTTGAATGCCCATCTAACCACGCTATGGCAGAACTAGACACGGTCCTGCTATCCCGGTCCGGACCACGAGCTGGGTCCCGGACCGCGTGGCTAGAGGCTTCTTCAACCCGACGTGGATCTTCACTCACCAACAGTCAAAAACCCCGAGCCCCACACGGGGCCCCTGTTATATCAGCCTGCGCCGGGGCTGTCTCCACCTCTCGCCCCGCCCACCTCGATCTCTCCAGCTTTTCCCCAAAGCTCCCGAGAGCTCCTCTATACCACGTGACCCTCCAGCGGCCCCGTCCATCGGTGGCCCCCCACCAATATCACATCCGTTCACGTGTCAGCAGGTCACCCAGAGTATCATGCCCCAACGTAACCCTGGCTTGCAGACATTCTATCTTGCTCCCTCACCGGGAGCCCGCACCGCATACTGTACATGGTGCCCTCGCGCAAACCAGCGCTCACCCAAGCCCCGCTAGAGCTGGTACTGCGCCCAGTAACTGGGCTACATATAATGGCAACATACTATCCGCCGTGGCCTCGCAGGCCCGGCACCACATAGTGACAAGTGGCCGTAGGGGACTGTATAGAGGGCAGTGAAATGCACAAGTTGAGATAATTAAAGACTGGTGGCACAGTCGAGTTCGGAGGGCGCTGCTCAATTAAGGGTGGGGCCGAAAGAGTACATCGGAGCGAGTCGGGGCGCTTGCCTGGGACCAGAACTACAAGGTGGAAGACATCGGGGCTGTATCTACATAATTACTACGGAAAATAAAGAGTTTAACACGTAGACTTTCGCGACCAATATCATCCATAATACAGGTGGATGGCATTGCAATCTAACCCAAAAACTCAAACCTGTATTATGGAAAATAAAGACTTCCCTTTTTTCTAAATGGACGTTTCAAAGGAGCTTCATTACATTTACAAAGCACCTTGGTTAAGGCGCCACTATATAAATGTCACTAAGATGAGCATTGTAGGTGAAGATGCGATAATCGCCGATGAACTTGCATGGTAGCATTCAGGAACACGCACTGTCATTGGGAAAATGCATTTGTCCTTCAACGCATTTTTGAAATGGCGTTTTTTGTCCCTCCCATAACGTCATCGTTTTCCCCATCTACTTTTATGGGAGATCCAATGTACGTTGAATGCCTACCATCACGCGAACTCTGGTCACCCTCACAGCGTACCGTGTATGTATGCGTGCTGAACTTTTTCCGCACCACTGTATGAAGCTGGCCATACTAATCGGAGGTCTGGGGTGATGGACAACCAACAAAACAAAGGAGTTCTAAAGAAATTAGTTATAAATGTAGTATAGTGGTGTAGTAGTGTATAGTATATAGTAGTGCAGTGTAGTATTATAGTAGTGTATAGTAGTTTGTATGTGTGAACTTCTTTCGCACCACCATATGTAGTCAACAGCGCTAATTGGAGATGTGGGAGGGAGGACAACAAACTCAACACAACAACAACGAGCAGTACTAAAGAAATTAGTTTGTCAATCTAGATGATGATTTAAAAGTGCATAGCTCCCAGAGGCTTCCTAATATCGGAAGGAAGAGCATTCCAGATGGCCGCAGAAGCGCATCTTAAAGCGACGCGCGATGCGGTAACCACCTTTATTCGATGGTTAGCCAAAAGTGTAGTCTATCTTGTAGTTTATAGTTGTGTGTAGTAGTGCAGAGTGTAGTGTATAGTATTTTAGAGTGTCGTGTAGTGCAGTGTATAGTAGAGTGTAGTGTAAACTAGTGTAGTATAGTATATAACATCTGACAGCACTGCGTGACGCGATGACCATCACCTTTGTATGACGGCCAGCCACTAAAAAACTTGCAAACAACCCGGCGACTGCGCGTCAGCATCTCTGACTGGGTTGGGGGCATCGAAGATGGAAAAAAATGTGAACGCTCGCTCACCTCGGACGAGCAGGCGGGTTCCGTGGGGGTCGGAATAAATGTACTCTCCACTGTAGTTTACACCTACGGACCACTCCGTGATGTCACAGAAGTAGGTGTTCGCATCTCCGCCACTCAGGTTGCCGATGCTGATGTGCGCCTCCCCCCTAGACGCGCGTCCCACCAGCCAGAGCCGCCCCTTGAACCGTCGCCTCGTGAAGTTCCTGGCGCCGTCGAACACGACCACCCTGCCCTGCGCCCCGTCCGGTCTCTTCCACTGCACGCGCGCTCGGTTCTCGTTGGAGCGAAGGGCGAAGGTGCAGGGCAGCAGGACGAAGCCACCCACCGTGCCATAGACTAGCTCCTTGGTACACACACTCGCACTTCGGCCGAATTTGGAGCACCGAAAGCTCCCGTTTTCCTGGAAGGCAGCAGCTGTGGATGTATGGAGGGGAGGGCAGGGGAGTGGGTGCGGTAGAAGGATTGCGTAGAAATGAGTTAGGCGCGTGTGGCAACTTCCATCTCCGCGTATGTATGTACGTATGTACATTGACCTTCTTTTGCACCATCGTACGTAGCCAACCGTGATAATCGGATGTACAGATATCCTCTCAGTGGCATTCCCTGGCTGACCCTCAGTGATTAATCAAGACCAATGGTCATAATCCCTTCAAGCGATATGTCCAACCCAAACCAACTTTTCCAATCAGTGTTTACGGAATTCCCTCACTATTCACGAACTTGGCTATCCGCGAACCGCATTTGGTACTCTACACAAGTACCGCATCGAGAGAGCGAGACAAAAAGAAAGTGATGAGAGAGGATCGAACCCACGACCTCCTGCATACCAGGCGAGGGAGTGAACACCTTTGCTGCCCACCTCGGTGCCTTTCCCTCTCTTACTCGACAATCATCATCTCTTCCACTCTCTATTTCATACCGACCAATGCCTTCTGTCTCTTTGAGTGCTATATTGTAAGACCTCCTCTCCAGACTGCCTGCAATCGCCCCTTCTGAATTCACCAGAATCAGAATCTTGTATTTATACTGCAGCAGGAGGAAGAATCCGATGAGCTATACGCTGCCAAGCTTAGCAGTGTTCATTAGGACGCTGTCTTTTTATTATTTTATTATTTCCATTCAACGTATATTAATGCATGCACATTATGCATGCACATTGTTCTTGTACCTCCTGTCGTTTGTGTGCACTAAAATAGCAGCACCTGTTATTGTCTGCATACAGATGTGGTGGTCATGATTGACACACACGTGCCACAACCAGGGGGAGGGGTAAAAACCGGTCCGGACCAGTCGGGCCAACGGCGGTTGGAACCCCTCTGAGGGGAGGAGGCTGGCAGAAGCTACGATCCCCCAAAACCCCGCCCCTCAGGGAAAAAGAGTATATAAGGTGGGTCCCCGAGAGTGCAAGTCAGCCGAAGCCAGAAGCCGCCTGAAGAAGAAGAAGACCTTGGACCCCAAGCCGCCGACGGCCTTCTAAGGGCCGGGGCTCAGTGCAGTGCCAGTGGTCGTGGGGTTAGGACCCTGAGGTTCCCTCGGCCTGATGCCCTTGTGAGGGCCAGGTCCGGATGGGCCAGTGGTCAGGGACCCACCGGGCCAGCGGTGGGTCAGCCTCCCCTAGGTTTAGCTAGCCGGAGGGCTGGAGTAGGGAGAGTTATAGGTACGATAGCCTGGAGGCTGTACCTCCCCAGGTTGTGGGTGGAAGGGGCCATTACCCCTTTGTGTTAGGGATTAGTGTAACTGTTTGGTAAAATAAAGCGTGTTGCCTCTACGAAGACTCCGTCTCCCTCCAAGAACATTACACAGGTAATCCACATTGATATATGGCGACCTGTATAGGCATGCAATTAAACAATGTATTTGATGATTTACTTCCAAGCAGCACTAAGTCTGTAGCTATTCAAATGGTTACAATTATTTTTATTTCTTTTTATTTCGATAGATTCCCAAATTAGCCTTGGCCAGTAGTAACTAGTATTGCACAGAACTTTAATATTATCAAAATCAATTGAGCGTTCTTGTTGGCACGCGTCTTCTGCCACTGCCGACAGTTGTATTTGGGAATATTAAATATTTATTTGGTGTTCTTTTAGTCTCGTGCTGATCCTTCGTCCTGTCTGCCCAACATAGCATTTTCCACAAGTGCAATTAATCCGGTACACACCTTCTGTCAATAGCTTTGGTAATTCCTATTTTGTACCAGATATTAGTTTCTTTATTTTATGTACCATGCCAAATCCGAGTCCGATGTTTTGTTTTTACAAACATCTGGCTAGTTTATCTGCTACTCCTGCAATGTACGGTATTTTTATAGTTTTCATTACTTTTTCAGTTTCAATTCTCATGTTATTTGATTTGGTTTTGGCATTCAGTTCCATGCTGATTTGTGCATCAATGTAACCATTCAATTGCAGCACTACTTTAACATGTTTAATTTCACTTCTCAGACTATCACCATATAATACTTTCTTAGCCCTATGATTGGGCGCCCTGATGAGAGAGGATTTCTGTGGGGTCAGTGTGCATTTTCTTTCGGTAAACGCTGTGTTATTTTACTATTTCGGCCGCACCCGAGCAGAATATCCAGAAATGTAAGGGTTCTGATAACTTTCAAGGTGAACTGGATGGATGGATTTTGCGAGTTGAGATGATTTAGAGATTCGTTAAGTGTATCTTTACCATGTGACCAGACCACTAATGTGTCATGCACATATATAAACCAAACAGAGGGTTTAATTGTGCTTGAAGCTATAGCTTTTTATTCTAAATCTTCTTTTAACAAATTCGCAATCATAGGAGACAAAGGAGAGCCCACTGCGGCTCCTTCCTTTTGTTTATATAAATCACTTTTCCACAAGAATTAGGTGTTCTTTAGACAGTGTTCAGCTAGTCGCGGAATGTCTTTGGCTAAATCTTGACTTAAAGCTTCGTGACATGCAGGAATTCATATAGATAGAAAAATAATAAAAATGATTTTAAAAACCACGACGTTTTGATCGCAACACAAGCAATTGTCCTCAGGTGAACAAATACAGCAGGTGAACTGTGGAGGAAGAAATATAGTGAGAGAGCTACTGCAGCCACAAGTTATATATGCTTGGAGTGGGTGGGGCTAGAGGTGGAATTTGCAAGTAAATGCAAGATCGCAGAGCCAGGAATACCTCGGCTAATTATGTCTGTATTAACCCACAAAATGCAAACAAAAAAAATAACAAGAAGGCTCATCTGATCGAGTCGCTCACTTCTCTGACACCAAGGTAATACCGATTGCCTTATTTTGGTTCTACGATGCAACAACTGGTGCCAGAAGTGACTGCAAACTTTCGTCGCCATGTCGAAGTCGGCTACGAAGCACAAGAACCCACCTGTTGCGAGATCGGATGATGAAGACAACTCCAAAGAGGCCCCCACAACGTCCCCGGAGTCTGGGGCCCCGGAGATGCGCCCGGTGGAGCCCGGTTAACCCACGCAGTAGAAGGGGGCAGCCGCGGCCGGCCACTCACCACCGCAGGAAAGCAGGAGAGTTCTTACCAGCCAGTTCGGGCAACTGCTGCAGTCGGCCACGCATTTCATCTCCATGATGTCGGAGATGGGAGCCCAGCTGCGCGCGCCCATCACTTTTTTGGAGCAGGATCGGGCGCTTCCCGCCATTTCTCCTCCCGCCACATTCTAATTTGGCGCCGTTTTTCCAATGGACGCGACGCAGCAATCGGCCGCCATCTTGCCCCTGGGTGCACCGCAGCAACCGAGCGCCATTTTGCACGCGACACAGCAACCGGGCGCCATTGCCTTTGCTGTAGCAATACCACCGAATGCGTCCTTCGGGAGCGCCCACACCGGTCTTCAGCTCTGGTTCTTCCAAATTTCGTTGCCTGCCGCCTGTTCATCCATTCATCGCAGCTGGCGGTGACTGGATGTCCTTTCAAGACCGGTTTGATGTGGCTTGCGTCTCAGTCGGGTGGCCTATGGACGAGGCCCTCAAGGCACTCTCGACGGCTTTAGATGATAATTCCCTAGCCGCATTTTATTTGATTCCGCCTGCGGACAGGGCGATGCTCCCCATGGGGTACGCCCAAATAGCTGCTATTTTTGAGCCGCCCTCCAGCGCACATCAGAAGTTCTTGCTGCGGAGGCGAGGGGAGACCGAGACGCCTCTCATCTTCCGCAGCTCCTTGTTGGCGCTGGCTCAGGCGGTCTACCCCAATAAGGATGGTTAAGCGCTCGACTCCTTGGCTTTGGAGCATCTGCTCTCCCTCGCACAGGAGCTTGGGGTCGTTTTGTCTATGGTGGAGAAGGCGGACATCTCTTCCCTTAAAGTGGTGCAGGGGATCCAAGCACACCTTGGCCTGTGCCAGTGGCCTGGTGTGGCGGCGTGCACAGGGGACCCGGGTTCAGAGAAGGCTGCCACGCCGTAGGATGGGGATCATCTTGAGGGCGAGGTCTTCACTCTCACAGGGGTCGGTATCCACCATCTGCTTTCGCTGTGGCCAGCCTGGCCACATCGCATTGGGCTGCTGAAACACTCCTGGGGCCTTCAGCAGGACTCCGTCTCCCTCTGCCTCCACATCGGCATCGTCATCTGGGCCTTAGGCAAGTCGCGGTGCATCAGCCACTGGGACAGGGTTCATGATCACCGGGGCACCTTTAAAAGTTCTGCAATGCTCGATCTTCACTCGCCGTCGGTCTCCGGATGGCCTAAGCAGGTCCATCAGTGGGCTGCGCTCACGCAGCGGGTTCCTCCGCAGTTGCTGGTTACGTCCATGGGGTGGAAGTTCGGATTTTGGTGGACACGGGTGCGTCGGCCACCATTATATCGGAATGCATTTTCAGGTTGTTGCCACACAGCGTTGGTCAATTGATGCCTGTACAGGGGGCATGCGTTGCCACGAATGGAGGTAGTCTAGGTATATTGGGTCACATTGTTGCCTCCATTAGAATTGGTGATATTGAATTGGAAGGTCCCATCTTGGTCTCAAAGGCGTTGGCAGTGCCATGCCTTTTGGGCACAGATTTCTTGGACAAAATGCCCATTAAAATATTGATCGACCTGGGGTTGTGTGGAGATGCCATCGGGCCGTCACTTGAACTTTTTGCTTCCCTTACCGTGTTGACTCCTCTTGTGGCCAGCGTACAAGCTTTGGCTAGGGATTTCATGAACATTCAAACTGGGTTCCAAATTTTTATACCCCTGAGGTTGCACAAACCCCTGAAATTGCATACACCAGAGGCAGGCGTCCTCTTAACGCCCTCTACTTTTCGCGGACATCCTGTTTGGTGGGTGCCCTGACAGTTGTGTCAAAAGACCAGGAGCCCTTTTTGCAAATTTTAAACGCAGGTCCTTCACATGTAATAGTTCCGGCTGGCACTGTTTTGGCGCATGAGACCCCAGCTCTCCCACCGGACGACGCCATGCCAGG